TGAGGTAAAGCGCCGCACCGGGAAGGATCGCTTGTTCCTGGAGGGATTTACTCAGCTCCAGCTTCGAAGTGGGCTTTCCGCTAAGCTCGTCAAACAGGAAGAGCGACGCGTCATGAGGGTTGAGGCTACCATAATTGTTCATACTCAGGGGAAGCTGGTTAAACAAATCAGGTAATACATCAGTAAGGGTCGCATCTAGATCGATTTGACAAGTGGCCTTGCCGTTAGGTATATCAACAGAAAGAATTGTATATTGTGGCATTTTTGATTTACAATTTTATTTTTACTAATGTATAATTGACGAAAACTAATCAACTTTTTGACAACAATACGCTAAAAGATTATAAAATACACTAAAGTATAAGACGAGAAATATACACTCAATGGAAAGCAGTGTGGTATATACAATCGGCGTCAAAGCTGAGCGCAGAGGAAAAAGGGGGAAAAAATGGAAACCTGACAATATTCATAGTATAAAAATAGCTAAAGAGAATTAATGCGACATAAACTAGAAAAATATTTTGATGGTACCTATCATCACATTATAGAAAGAAAAAGGATAGATTTTTCTGACCCTCGCTGTCTAATATTGTAGTATCATCAGTTTGAAGGAGTTGTCCAGGGGTGTCAATTTGAATAAGAGGTTTCTGAGACTCTGTAATAACGATTTCAAACAAATCTGGTTCCCCCTTCTGTTTAATGCATGTATCTGCAAACAAACTAACTCTGGTGCTGCTTACTAGAGCTCTCAGATCACGTGGATCAGTTGGGATCTCCTTTTTATAAAAGGGTCGCTCCTCGAGAACTGGTAGTGTCATCACTTCATCCATAATATTTAAACCAGAAATCTCAGTATCATTTTGGGATATATCATGGGAAGCTGGTAAGTTCTGTGTGGAAAAAATATTTTCTTCGGGCAAAAAAAGGCTTCTGGGTGCAATCTGAAGCTCAGTTTGAGGTATTTCTCGAAGCTCTTTTTGAAAGTAAATTTGCTTATAGTAACTGGATAACTCTGTTAGCAAACAAGCACATTTTAATGGCATATCCTCGTCATTAATACAAATCGCATGATCGCGATAAAAGCGATCCCACGCACAGCAAAATTCACAAATAAATAAAGCATTAACTTGTACGAAAAAGCTACAGGGCCGTCTCAGGCAAATTCCACACTTAACGGTTGCGCGAAGGGAAAGAATAATGTCATCATCCAAGACGGTGGAATCTGGTGTGCTGACCTTCCCAGTTAATGATAGCCTTACTAGGCTACCTGGAATCTTCGAAAGGTCTCCCGACGGCTGCGTGCGAGTCTTGACAATGACGCTGCCGCCTTTCTGAGAACACGGCGATGCCGCGTTTGGGCTACCCGCCTTCCAGGAATATTCCCCCTCTATCGGTTGATGAAGAGGACCTAAAGGAAATTTTCCAGATACCAAGGGCGGCGGCTTCATCGAATGGAGTTGCTCAAACTCTTTATAAGGGGCTTTGCGCAACAACGGATGCTTAGCCTTGAACAGGATGGTTTGGATATGACATGAAAGCGCGTCAAGGCTTTTGAGAACACTGGTGTAACATCGCTCACAAAGATAACCTCTCACAGGATGTCGAAAGAAACATGAAAACAATTCAATATCAGAGTCTTCAATGATTATAAGTCCTTTATCTCGAATGGATGCCACAGTGTGAAGTTTGCTATGGATTTTTTTCTTAATGAAAACGTTGTGTATTCTATCGATCATATTTTTTACTTCAGTTTGAGGGACATGCGCAGGATCTAGAGCTGCGGAGATCTGCGGTATTAGCTTTCTTTGTAAAACTAAGGTAGCATGGGTTTCTTCACTAGGATGATGCTCAGCCCTTCTTCTAGGCACTTCATCAAAACGGAGCGAACCCTGTTCTCGCGAACTCACTTGTTTTCCATTAATAGTGGTGATGGAATTCTCGTCACAAAGTTTACTCGATGTACCATTTATTCGATCAAGTTTGTACAAGGGGTCCGTCTGCTGTATAGAGTTTAAAGAGTCCATCATCATCGAGCTACCCCTCCTAAGATTGTAGGGCAGCCTTTTCAGGGAGTCACCAAGAGGATCATCTTTACCAGCGAAAACAGGGTCTTTTGTCTCTAGAACTTCGGTTGACTTAAATAAAGCCGCTTCAATTGACTCTTGTGGGAGAAGATCAACCATAATATATGAATTATCAAGCTGAGCCACGCTGTCGCGCTCCTCACCGGGTGCAAAACATACACAGCAAAGGTAATTCTCCTGCAGGGAGTCCAGACGAAGCTGGATTGCACGCTCCTGAATATCTCGGTTACGACGGTCGTACCAGTCCCTCTGCGCCTTAATAGAATCCATAAGATCACTCACAAAGTGCTTTTTGAAGGGTACAGAGACAGAAAAAGAGCGGTGCAGCAACTCAGCAATTTTATTAAAAATCCAAATCATTTTTTAGTCCTTCCGTTAAGTGCGAATATATCTATATATATATATATATATTATTTTTTAATCTTTTCTATTTAATTATCCGCATCTTCTCGTACTAAAATTTGTGAAGAAGTATGCAAAGAGGAAAGCAGAAAGTTTGAAGTGGTAAATAAAAAATAGACTCCTAAAAAGGGGTATTTTAGTGTCCTTTTTTAGTAACTAAACCATTGCTCAACAACACTCCTATGGTTTCTCAAATGACAGCCTTTTAGCTGCGAAATTATACTGGTGCTTTTATGTAAATTACAGACTAATCTGAAGTTTACAGTTGCTTGTCCAGTTGGCCTTATATACTTTTAAATTTCAATAATTCGTATGAGCAGCCCAAAAAAATCCACTGAAAAGGAGTTACAAGTATTCCTACCGAACCTGAGTCTCCTAAATTAGAGAAGTCAAGAGGTGAAAGGAAAAAGAAGAGGGGGAGGGGGAGGGAGGGAGGGGGAAGAGGGAGGGAGAAGGGAGAAAACAAAACACCAAACATGCATTTAGACAACCATAACATGGCATTATGATATTCCCTTCTTGGCTACATTCTTCAATTTCTAAAACTCATCCAGAAAACGCTTAACGGTCTGACCATACTTTTCCTGCGCCACGGAGACGGAGCTTTTCAATGAGTCCCAAATTTGTGATACCTGCACTGTCGCGTCATCGAGAATACCATTGCGTTCTCCAGACAGGGTGGTATGCCGCATCGCCACAGCCTCCGTAGTGTAGGCCCGATTCCCCATCCCACGAAAGTCAGGCCCTGTGGAGGCCTGCGCAGGGGCCTTTCCGCCAGGCGGGGGTCTCCCTGTCCCCTTTGTCGAGGTCGTCATTGGGGGTTCCTCTCTCCAAAGGGGCAGTGGGGGGTCTCCGGCTTCCTTGGCGCCGTTCGTCGTCGAGGTGCGGTAGAGCAGCTCCGTGGGGACGGGCGTGCAGGCCTCGTCAATCCCTCCTTCCTTGAGCGAGGTGAGGCCGCCAAAGAGCCCCAGGCCCCTCTTCGAGGGCCTTTTTCCTCCCCCAAGCCTCGCGCGGGGGGCGGGGGTCGGGGCCATACAAACGGGGGATGCCCCCGTGTCGTCCTCAAGCGCCAGGGAGGAAGGGGTGGAGGAAATCGGATGGTC